AAAGTATTCTTGAATGAAGAATTTCAAGGAATTTATTTTCTGTAGCTTTTAGGTTAATGTATTTTCAGTGTTTAAAGTGGGGAAAAAGAGGAAGCAGGAAATTTTGAAGCTGAGTAATATATTTCTTGTTTTTCATGTGCATTCTTTATTATTTTAAAAATTAACTATAATGTCAAAATTTAAAATTTATTAGGTTAGATAAGATAAGATTATGAAAAATAATAATAATGAAAAAATTCTTCACAAAATATATTTGTGAGCACTTCCTACATTACGTAATTTGATACGGTAACATGAGCAGCACGTTCTCTGAGTGATTTACAACCTCTGTAGTGAGACACGGTTTAAAGGGCAATAAAACAATAAAATAAAAATTTGTATACTGTTATGAATTATTTGTAACTAGCATAAAATACCCCTGCTCTACTGCAAAGTTCACAGCTACCCCAAGGGAGGCCTGTATCCAAAAAAAAACCCACTGGGACACCTGCATGTGATACCTGAGCACTTATGCCAAGTTTGGCCTTGATTGTTTGTGGATTAGGGTAAGAACATATTTTCCAACATACATTTTTTGTAAAATATAGTAAGCAAAAAATCTTAAATGAAACAATTTAATACCAGTCTTGGGTTCAGCAATCCTGAAAATCTACTCTTAGACCCCCCATCATACCTGGACAACCTTCCAGGGGCATTTTAGCACCCTTGGTAGGAGGCTAAACCGTGTTGATGAGGGCATCCCTTAGAACAGCTGAGTTCACCTGCCAGGTTTGGTCCTGCTAGCTCCAGAACTGTGGGAGAAGTTAATTGGATGTATATATGTATATATATACATATGTTACGACAGCGGAGATCACGTGACACTGGTAACACGTCATGAGCTTCTAGAAAATTCATGTCCCTTCGTGAAGCCTCGAGTGTTTACTAGATATGCGGTATTCTTGTATATAAGACTGCCAAGAAGTGACGGCAACAATGCAGTTGAATTGCAGACAGAGACAGACAGTTGGGTCGAGCGCGTGTCGTTCGTTGTGAATTATAGCGTTTGTTTAAGTTATAGCGTGACCGTGGAAATTAAGTGAATTTCAAAGTTGTATTGAGAAAGTATAAACTAGTTTTATTTAAGAAAGGACTTGTGCCGCTAAAGTTTCATCGGAAAGAAATTATACGAGAAATTAACTAACGATCAGGGACGTAACACTATGTTGTTTGCTTATTTATTGTTAAACACCAAGATACACAACAGGTGGTCTGTGTTCGGATATCGACACCCAAGCTTTGGCGTTATAAACCCTCAGTCTTATCGCTAAGCCACCGGGGACTTCCATGTGTTAATTTGTAAACTCGTAGCACTATCTTTACAAAAAGACACTGATATTACTCAACCTCTCAGCATCAAGAATAAGAATAATATGTTAAAGGTCTTTAGATTTTATTGTCAATAACACAGGCCTACGATGGTCTTACTGTCTTGAAATTTATACATGTTCTACGGTAATTCCTGTACACTGAATCCGAAAATGATATTTATTTTTCTCCATCACGTACAGATTTTTCACAAAACGTCATAACGCAATAAATAAGAGACAGAACACAACATGTAGTTTTGAGACTAAAAGACGTAGATTTTTTTTAAAATCAGGATGAACGAGGATATATATTTGTTTGACATCAACGTTCTTCCTTTTTCTTCAATTTGTATTTTTGTTAACAAACATAATAATAAAAAATGTTCATTGTGGTAAACGAAATAATAATTTGA